CCATTTCAGCACTGCCAAGACTTTGCCTGCTCTAGGGACACTAATAAGCTTCCTGATGGGGTTGACACCAGGCCAGGTGAGTAGATAAAAGTGATCACAGACCGGCCTTCTGGGACCACCTGGAGCGGGAGAGAGACGTTAAGGTGGACACGGGCCGGGGGTGCAGCTGGGTCTCCGCAGCCGGGACGAGAGGGGCTGAAACGGCCGAGGGACCTAGTCTCTGTGGATAGCGTGTCCTGGAGCTCAATCAAGACTTTTTACGAACCTCAGTGTCAACGCCCCTCAAATTCTATCAGTTCCCAAAAAGAATAAACAGGCCGCTGGCTGTGCTGGGGACGAGAAACCAAGGGGTCGGAGCCGAAGGCTGGCGCCCTCTCTCGACAGGATGGACCCGGGGGTGGGGTGAGGACCCGGTGGCAGCAGCCGCTGCTCTCGTCTCCCCGCAGGGCCTCCCCTTCCTGCTCGGGCCGGGTCAGACCCGCTCACCCTGGGCTCTGAGCGGCCTACGCAGCCTCCCAACGATCAGAGGTTTTGCACGCGACCCGCGGGTGCTCGCAAACCAAACTCTCTGCGCGAACAATGGCTGCGCCCCGGAAGTACTTCCTCACACTGACCCGCCGACCAAACCGTCCCTGAGAGTCCCTCTAGTAACTGGAGGACCCCGCATCTCGGTGGTTCCTCCTGGTTCCCGCGAGACGAGCCTAGGAGACGGGAGGGCGGGCGAGATAAATCCCGTCTTCTTCCCAGCCTCCGGCCGAGCCCGGGTCCTGCACCCGTACCACCCACCTCCTCCGGAAGGAGGCGGAGTCTGAGCGGGAGCCGGAAGCCGAGCTTTGGTTCCGGAAGCCGAGCTTTGGTTCCGTAGCTGCGGAGCCCGCCTAAGTAGTCCCGCCCCTTGGAGGCGGAAGCCACTTCTGGAAACAGACTGGCCCAGCCCCTGCTGGACGTGTTTTCCTCCCGCGGGTGGGCCCTTCCCTTCAGGGCCTGGAAGAGCGACCTGGAGCCTGGAGTGGGGTCTGAACGGGGCTGCGGGGCAACCCTGGACGGGGTGGAGGCCGCAGCACAGAGGAGCCTCCGAAATGTTTGCTGAATAAATGGAAGTCGAGGAATGGAGTGGCGATCTTATTCTATATCCAGAAGACCCCCCACCCCCCGTCCCCAGGATGTCAAAAAGGCAGTGCTTTTTGGTCCTCCATAGAGAGAGCCACCACGAACGAGGGGAGGTTGGGAGCAGGGAGAAGGGAGCCCAGGCCCCAGCCAGAAGCCCACCACGCTGCCCTGCGCATCTCTCCTAGACTGTCCTGACCGGTCCGCCACTGTTGATGTCATTTGATTAGTTCCTACCAGGCTACTGTGATGCCCCACATGGAGCTCAGAGTTACAGCTCTTTTTACCTCACATTCATGCTCAACCATTGTTTCCCACAAAACCACCACTCTACCAAGAAGGCTGGGCCCAGGGGAAGCATCCTGACCTCGGCCATATCCTATGGAGACCGACACTTCCCCGGGATCCACAAGGTCCCTGTGTGGAACTTAGGTCACATCTTTTCAAGGTTATTTTATCTCAAGTTCTGGGTGGTATGCATAACCTGGGACCTTTATAGGAGCTCCTCTGATCACTCCCCAAAGACTTAAATATGGAAGAGCAGGAGTTAGGACCTCATTTTACTGACGAGAAACTGCATCATCATAAGATACATTGTTGGTGGGGTAGGTATGCTAAGGCAAAATCAAAAGAAGTTATACCAGAGTGGTTTGCATAAATAATATTCATTTTAGAACAATGTAGTTTCGGGGGGGGGGGGGAATCACTGTCCTTAACATAAAATAATACAATTTTAATACTGTCATTAGTGATACAGCTTCATTTCTCTCCAGTTTTCTTGACTGCTCTCTTCTTGCCCTCACAGGCTAAGCAACCTTAAATGAGTTTTATAACCTTTCAACCTCAGATTTCTCACTTATAAAATGGGGATGAATATCTACCTTAATCAGATTGAGAAAAATTAGAGGATGTATGTATGGTGGTTAGCACAGAGTAAGTGCTCAACTAAATGTTGCCTAAATATGAACATGGTTGAACAGGGGGACCAATCTTGCTAGAGTACAGGGTATCTGTTCAGGAGGAGAAACAGATTAGAGCCATAGCAAATGTGGATGGTCATCTCATTTTGTCTCTGGGGTTCCTGTATCATGAATATCATAAACAAGTATCACCACTATGTATTCTCTAATGTTCCAGAAGGTGGGAGATCTGACAGTTATAGTTTTTTTTCTCTAGCATGGCACCTCTGGTGCTTAATCAAAACATATTTCTGCCTGAAGGCCTTCCCACAGTCATTACATTTATAGGGTCTTTCCCCAGTATGGATTCTCTGATGTCGGATAAGGTTTCCCTTGCAAATGAAGCTTTTCCCACAATCAGTACATTCATGAGGCTTCTCTCCAGTGTGGATCTTCTGATGCTGAAAACGATCTGAGTTCCACGTGAAGCCTTTCCCACAGTCCTTACATTCATAAGGCTTCTCCCCAGTGTGGATTCGCTGATGTTGAAGAAGGGCTAGGTTCCGAATAAAGCTTTTCCCACACTCCTTACATGTATATGGTTTCTCCCTGGTGTGGATTCGCCGATGCTGTAGAAGGTTTGCATTCTGATTAAAACCCTTCCCACATTCCTTACATTCAAAGGGTTTCTCTCCTGTGTGTATTAACTGATGCCGAATCAGTTTTGACTTCCAAATGAAGGTTTTAGCACATTCTTGACATACATAGGGTTTTACACCTGTATGACTTATCTGATGTGCAATGCAATGTGATCTAAAACTGAAAGTCTTCCCACATTCCTTAGATTCATAGACCTCTCCATTATGAATTCTCTGATGTTGATACAAGTCTTCAGTTTGATCAAAACACTTGCCACATTCTTCACACACACAGAATACCCGCTCACTTAGAACTTTCTGGTGTATAGCCAGGTGGGTGTTAACATCAGTATTTTCTGACCTCTCTTCTACTGAGATCATTTCACCTTTGGCAATCACTTCCATAATATCATTTGTAGTGTTCTCCACACTTCTCCCATTGGGGTAGTCACACCATCTTCCTAACCTGCATTTCTCCTCTTCATGGGTTTTTCCAAACCAGAATCTCCCGGACCCACACCACGGGGGTCCTCTTGATGGTACCATGTGGTCCTGTGGCTCCTCAAAAATTTCCTCCTTCAGAATAAAATCTTCTTTCTCATCACTCTTCAACACACCCTCTGGAAGAAGAAATCAGAGCTGCAAATGTCATGATTACCCATGACAGAGTGACTACAGTCACCAATATATCCATTTCTCTCCAAGTGCCAGAGGCCTGACCTAGCTGAAATGACAAAACAGAACTAACACACAGAAAGCCACCAAAAGCAAAAGGCAACAACTAGACAGAGAGTTCCTAAGGGCTGTGAATCTCAGCACCAGACCCAAGCATGGGGGCAGTGGTGTTCTTGGGAAATAGTCCAATTGAATCTAAGGGGGACAAGTCAGAATTACTTACAGGTGGTCTAGTTTATAACATAAGAAGAACAAGCCAGGATTCTGGGCAAAAGACCTGGTCAGAAATCAAGAATCACTGTGGTGTACCTGCGGAACCTGAGCTCATCACACATAGAGGGGAGCAGCAAGAAGAATCTCCCTCAGACTTGTTAACATAAAAAGGAAGTGTAGTCTTCTCATTCAATCCAATCACCAGGGCTGCCACGAAAAGTACTTCCCCAAACTACTTGAGGCAGAGCTGGGAAAAGACTGCCTCCTCTTTTTTCTCATAGGGTGTTATTCACACCTCTTTCGCAGTATCATATTTTGCTATAATTATACATTTCCATATAATGTCCTATTATTAGATTGTGAGCCCTTCTGGAATAGGCACCAAATATTACTTGTTTT